TTAGGAAATTAGGGAAAAATAGTACTAAAATAAGCCATTGCAAGGGTTTTTTTTTTTTTTTCATCATAGTTTTTGTTAATAGTCAAGTACATGTTCTTTACTTGTTGATCGTGATTGTAAACGATGTTTGGCTCGACCCTTTTGGTTGATGAGGTTGGGTATGTCCATATGTTACTCAATTCGGAGGTTGATAAAAAAATAATTATTATTTTGAATTCGTCTTCTAATTACAAGAGTCGAGTAACACGTTTTATTAATGAATCACATTGAAATCTTATTTTCATTTTACATTTATCATGGCAATTGAGTTAGTTTCGCCGATGGCCACTGAAGTTTATACAAAACTAACAAATAGTCATCAAAGTTAAATAATGACATACACACTCTATTATTCCGACTGACGTTATATTTGGTATAGTACTCATTAAATCTTCAATGGACTAAAAATCGTTAAAAGGATTGATTCCTTCTATCCAACCTCATATTTATCAGTGTCACGATGTTTTCACTTTTTATTAATGATAAAATACGTGATTAGGGGTTAAAAGGTGCTGTCTGAATTATGTAGCTGAAGGTGAGATTTTTCCTCCCAAAAATAACATTTTATTTTGTATATATGTAGGCCCCTGTTATGTGGCCTTAAAATCTAAAAACTTAGTCTTAAACGGTATATTCTGAAAAATATGTAGTTAAAAATAAGTAAAAATTTTAAATTTACGTATAAAATATTTTTATTGTGTAAATATATAGTTAAAAATAAGTACGAGAAATAAATTATAGTAAAATAAAATGAATCAAACAGTGTGTAATTTCCAATGTTTTGAAAATCGGACTGGACATGCCGGTCCAACCGGGAAAATTGGGAACCGGACAAAAATCCGGTCCGGTTAATGCTTGAAACTCGTTTTACTCAAAATCAGGGAAAAACCGTTTAATTGTCCGGTTTAATGATTAACCGTCGACCCGTAACCAGTTTATCGGGTTTTCCCGATTTTTAAATTGTATAGGCTACTCAACTTTTAACCCGCTAATTAATAGGCCCAGAAAGTCTGCGGTGCACTTGTTGGCCCACCCATTTATAGGCACCATTTGTAGTGCTTTATTTAAAAGATTTCGATGTGGGATATAATTTAGCGTTTACTGTGTGCAACTGTGCATTACACTCATGTAGTCATGTGGTAGATTTTGATGTGGGATCTACTATGATACTATTTAGTGTTTATATATTTTTTATAGTTAATTATTTTATTGAGTTAATTAATCTTTTTTAACCTTTCTTTAATTATTAAAAAATTTAAACTCTTCTAACATTTAACAGTATCATTATCTATTCTTATTTTAGTGTTTAAAAATATTTTTTGTTTCACTACCGGTTCGACCCCGTTTCGATCCCGGTTCAACCTTTCGGCCCTTGACCCTTTTGCTTTTTCAGGTCGATTTTCAAAACATTGGTAATTTCACAACACGAATACACTAATAGTTAGTCAATGTCAAGATTTTATGGTTCAAAGTGGGTCTTGGAGTGGACGTTGCTAAAAAATAACCAATTACGTAACACTATTTAATTATAATGACTGAATGATCATAAAATACTTTAATAACTTAATTGAAATTTCACTTAAACCTCAGCAATCATTTGTGAAATTAACAGTTAAAAACTAAAATGGAAAATAAGGTGGAAAAAAAGGATCAATGACAAGAAAAGAAAAAAGTAATCAACCATAAGAGTATCTTAAAAAAAGAAAGAAAGAAAAAATAATGTTATTTACAATCGTTCATTATTGCAATTGTCCTATGTAACATATATGTGACGGTTAATGATTTGTTGTATAAGGTAATAAAAAAACTACTACATTAACGTATCAAATCACCAACCGTCACATGTATGCCAATAGTGCAACTAAGGCAGCGAGCGACTGCAAATAGCATTACTCTAAAAAATGGTGATACGCTATTTATTTTAAAATTTTAAATATTAAAATCAGGTTTCAATAGACTCTTTATTTTTACTTTTTAAAAATAAAATGGTTAGTTTAGCTATCTACATTTTGAGAATCAAACTCGCTTCTTTTTATTTTATTTTATTAGTGATTGCACCTCGTTTGGGTCCATTATTTGAAATATTAAAGGTTAGAATAGTATTTTTATTTTTATTTTTTGAAAAATATGTGGTTAAAAAGGGAAAAAAAATTGGAATTACATGTAATATTATTTTATTGAATTTTATAATTTTAATATGAACCAAACAAGAGTTAAATAATGTGCAACTTTCAATGCTCCAGTACTTAAATATTTCATATTATATTGACTATTATAATTGATAACTAAAAAGATATACATTAATGAAAAATAATAAATGATTATTAATAAAGTTAAAATATATATATATATATATATATATATATATATATATATATAAATGAAAAAAAAATGATTATTAAAAAATTAAAAATATATATATATATTGTTGACAAACAACTTTTTTAATGGACATTGAACCGAAGCTTTATTATGATTAAGATGCTCTTTAAAAATATAAAATCTCTTAAATGTATTTTAACCTAGCAGCGAACCACTTGAGCCTAATCTCTCAACAATTGTAACAATGGTGAATCATGTTCGATTATTTGTAACGAGGAGTTGGATCATTGGCCCATTATTTAAACAAGCAAATATACACGTGTTGTAAATTTAAAGCAATGAAGAGAAGAAAATTGGTAATAAAAGAATATAGATATAATAAGAGGCTTGAACACGAAAATGATAACGCTATCCTCAAACGTTATTTGCCCCCTTTTCAATGCTTTTGAGGAGTTCCGGTAAATAGTTTGTAGGATTTAATCAAGCCTTTGTGTGAAGAACATCAAAAGCAAAGTGTATCTTTCACAAAGAACAAGTGAAAATAGATATAAGATTGATTATGTGATAATTTGGGAGAATAATCTTATGGTGGATTTCTTAATTTTCTCAAAAGTGTTTTTCTTTACAATTGGAACACCTATTTATAGGCTTTGAAGAGTTCCCACGAAATGGTGCAAAATTATGTTGAAAAGACACCAAATTCAAAAGAAAAACGATAAAAAACGGATCACCAACAGTCACTTTGTATAACCATGCGACTGTATGGGCTATAACCACGCGGTCGCATGGTTATAGTGCAAGTGGCCCTCCCCCCTCCCAGTTTCGGGAGGGCCTCATGCAGTCGCATGGTTAAGCCCACAAATTTTTTTTTCTTGAACAACTAAAATTCTAACAACACGTACTTGCAAAACTTATCACTAGCCCAATTGGCTCCGCCGAGATTTACTGGAGGTGAGCTGAGGATTCTCCTTTTTTGGGCCCATTTAAAAAAAAAATTAACCCAAGTTTTGTCATTTAAAGGAAGTATATTTCAACTTCTTCGTTTTTGGGCCGTATGTGGCCTAATTTTCCCCTGAGGGTTCTCCTTTTTTTGGGCCTTTTTTGGGTCCCTTTAAAAAAAAAAGTGGAAATTACGTAAAACACTAGTTTTAAAATCCTATATTTTAAAATCAGATGGGAACTTTCATATTTCACAAATAAGATATTTCACATCTAATTATATAAATAAATATTAAATATATAATTTTCATCCATAACCCTAATCAATTTGCTCACTCCTTTCTCTCTCTATATTCCCTTTTCTTCTTCGTCTCTCTCTACACCCACAGCAGCAACCCTCTCTCTTCGCCAAACCATCACCGCCGACCAGAAGAAGGGTGAATTGTTGGCCAAAAGAATAGATTCACCCTTGCTACGCAATGGTGGTGGTGACAATTTTGCGGGGTGAATCTGAATCGTCAACCAGAGGATGGGTGAATTGTCGGTCGAATGGAGCGATAGTATATGTGTTGGTCGAGTTGTGGTGGTGGTTGGCGGTGGCGTATCTGGTGGTTGAGGTTGGTGTGCATTGTCGAGAGTTCACAGCGCCGACGTGCAGTAGTTTGTGTCGGCGATTCCAGGTTAGGCGTTCACAAGCTAGTGTGCAGTGCCTCAAAGCCGCTTGTCGAGATGGTCGTTGTGTTTTGGTGTTACAGTGGCGGTGATGTCGATGGTGGTGGCTGTGGGTGGTGTTGACGGTGGTTTTATGGCCGTGGTGCGGTGTTTGGGATTGGTGGGTGTTGGGAGTTCTCCGTTAGGCGTTAACAAGCGGTGTGCAGTGGTGTGGTGGCTTTGTTGGATCCAACGATGGCAGAGGTAACGTTGGATATGGTGGTGTTGTGGTTCTGATGGTGGCGGTGGTGGTGGATATGGCACAACGATTTGTTGATTTGAGGTGGTGATGTTGTCGTCAAGAGATGGCGGTGGTGGTAGTTATGATGGCGACGATACCAGTGGAGGTGGGCTATTGCAAGAAGTGGCTAGGCGGTGGTCACATGTGTTGTGACCAACTAATAAGTTGAATGTGGCCAATAATTGGTTAATTTGTAATAAATAAATAATACGTGACCTAAAAATTCTGTTTGTGACTTATTATTATTGAGTTGTGATCGAAAAATTAATCTGTGACTTATAAAATTTTTGATTCGTGATCGAAAAATAATATATGACTTATAAAATGTTTAATTTGTGACCGAAAAATAAGTTGTGACCAATAATATGATAAGTCGTGACTAAAAATTAATCCGTGACTAATTATTTTTTGATTGTGACCAATAAATAAACCGTGACTTCCAAAATTTTTGAATTGTGATCGTAAAAAATTTGTGACATAAAATTTTTGATTTGTGATAAAAAAATAATAAGTAACTAATTATATTGTTAATTTATGATCAAATTGTATAGATGACCTAAATATATTTAATTAATAAAATAATTAATTAACTAATTAAATCATAAATAAATTTCAATAAAAATCTGATTTTTAAAGTTTGAAACTTATTTTCTTAATTTAAAAAATGTGTGATACTTAAATTCTTACTTATCAAATTTTCCCTTCAAAAAAATAAAATTAGCCCAAGTGTCTTGCTATAGATTTCAATACTTGAATTTTCCCGAATCCAATTCCAAAGACGGCAATTGCATAGAAACCCTTCCTCTTGTATCTCTTCCCTACCGTCGCTGCTCAGACTTTTCAACCGTCATTGTGTCATTGTGAACCTTTAGGCTTCAGCAGCTCAGCTACGCCGAAAGTCACGCTCACTGTGTGTGCAGCGGGTTCCAAGGTAGAGAAGGGACTCGACGACCATTTTCCCGAAGGCGAACGCTATTTCGACCTCGACAACTTCGGCAACACTAGCTATTGCAACAGCATCCTCCAGGTAGTATTTAATATGTGCCATATAGAATCGTGGAACAAGGTTTTGGTCAGTTGGGTTGATTGGCTTTCTATAGAGTTGTTTATGCTGTTCACAAAATGTTAAAAAAAAAAAAATATTTCGTCGCTGAACCACCTTGGGAGAACTATTTATTTAATTACTATTTTTTCTGAGTTTTCTTGGGCAATATTTAGATGGATCTCTCTGTTTGGTGTAAAATAGTGATCTTGGGACTTCTATAGCTCTTCTTTATGTGGGCCGTGGGGAACATGGAAAATGATGCATAGAAGAAAAGGAAAATAGTTTTGTTGTTCGATGTTGATAGTCGAGTGAAGTTCAACTGTAAAAACGCGTGATTCTTCTCTTGAATTTCTTTAGATAGGTTTGCCACAGCTTTTTAGATGGATCCATTTGTTTGTTCGCAAGCCGATGAGTTCAACTATAATATTGATTGAAGAAATTATTATGATTATTTAATTAAGTTTTAATAAACAATCTCATTATTTCGATCGTTGATGGTTTACGACCTCCTTAGTTCGCTGAAATTTTTGGACCCGCGGCCCGCCTCTACCCAGTCCAAACCACCCGAACTAATATTAGGGTTGCGTTATAATTTTTAAGACGGCGCATTGCACCAACCGCATTTGATAAAAATATGAACTCTTCATCATAAAACCCTCAAAACTTTCATTGGAGCCAAACAGCCTGAATCAGTGTCTCCATTCTTCAACTTGAACTTCAATTGGTTTCAGTATTTATAGTGACCTTAAATTTATTTCTATTTATCTTATTCACTGTTTCACGCTAACAAATAGATTGACAATGAAGACGCTGAAGAATAAAAAGCAGCACAAAAAAGAGGGGCCTGAAAAGATAAATGGGACTTTAAGAAGAATAGAACAGCAATTAGACCAAGCAGCTGATAAGTCCGAAGATTCTTCCTCCGATTATGATTTTGAAGTTGTTGACAATGAGGTAATTTCTGCTTCCTTACAAAATATTTTATTTAGGACTCTATTTATGTTCTTGGTGCAAATAAATGATGTGAGCTTCTTATTTTAGCTGGTTAAGTGCAATGTTTGATTTTTATAACATCTTGTATATGTTTCTTAAGAAAGGCTTAAAAGTTTTGAACTGGGAATTGAAAAAATTGTTATGACGGGAAATTAACATTTCTTTCTTTGTATTCTATGCTTGGAAATATGGTTCAGGTGGAAGAGAATTCCTATCTTAATTTTATTTTTCAATTGGATTAAATAAATGGGAAATGTCTTAAAGTTTTGAGGTCCAGCTTGTGGGAAAGAAATCTTTTTTCTCCTTTTTTCCATTGAATTTGTGATTATATTGGTAATTGATAATGCAAATTGAATGTTGCTGAACCACGATTTTCTGTTGGTCACACACGAGTTCACTTGTGTAATGGGTTAGGAGGTTATGCCTTAGGGAAGTTACGACAACAGTGGCCTTTGTATTTGGACAACGGTTATTTTGCAAATTTAAGAAATCTTTTGTATTTGGATTCAATGATTTCATCTTGTCTTCTTGATGGTGGTAGAGTTTATCTGAGGATGAAGGTCCCCCAAGTGAATCAGGATCCGAACAGAGTGAACCCTCTGGCAATGAGGTATGCATGGTGATTCCCATTTTAAGAGTAAAAATTATTCCTGAAACAAATTTGGATAATTTGATATCCCTACCCCTTTGATTATTAGTTATGCAAATAATCCCAAGGATGCTTATGAGTATTAAAATGTGAATGTTTACAATTAAATATGATATTTTTTAGGGGAAATCCAGTTCCATAATCTGAATTCCTCGATAACACGTGTAGGCTATATAGTTTTACAAATGTGGTTGTTAACAATGTGTTATCTATGTTATTTGTTTGGAAAGTTTTGGTTGTCTTTTGATGTGAGTTTTAAACTTAACAGTGCGTGCTTGGGTTTTCTCAGACCCCTTATTATGCCATTTAACTTATGCATACATTTTTTTTGGCTCTGTTTAGTTGCTGGAGTTGATGTTTGTTAAAAAGAACAAGTATGTTTTTTCTTCACTTCATTGCTCAACTCGATTTTTAGTAATGGTGATGGGTGATATGGCAGGATGTTGTCTCAAGTGATGATGATGATGGGAATCATGATGATACCAGAAATAACAGAAAAATGGATGGAGGGGAAAGTGATGACTCCCGTGAAGTAATTGAGGAGAGCGATTCATCTGAAGATGAGGTAGGTGGCATATTTCTAATTTCTGCTAATAGAATGTTTACTATTCTGGATTTAAACAATATTTATTCACTCTGTCCGTATCATTTTTTGGTGGTCAAAATCAGGTTGCGCCTCGCAATACTGTTGGTAGTGTTCCATTGGAATGGTACAACGATGAGGAACATATTGGATATAATTTAGCAGGAAAGAAGATCAAGAAGAAGGAGAGACAGAATAAGCTGGATTCATTTCTTGCAAGTGCTGATGATTCCAAGAGTTGGTGAGTTCATAAATTCAATAGGTATTTGAGTCTGAGCTTCACCGAAAGAATTTGAACGATGCATGTTGGACAAATGCTCATCTGATGCTCAAAAGTCACGTATATTTTGCGTTTTGCAAGAGGCTTTGGTAAAATTACTTGTATTATTTCGTCATATTCAGGCGTAAGATATATGATGAGTATAATGATGAGGAAGTGGAGCTAACCAAGGGAGAGACTAAACTTATCCGTAGATTATTGGAAGGAAAGGCCCCACATGCTGATTTTGACCCATATCAGGTGTGCACTCTCCCATATTTCTTCCTTTGTTTTGTTTTTTCCGTCTTTTGGATCTTTGTAATTCTACTAATATATATGTGTGGAGATTATGCCTCCTAAAGAAACTTCTCATGGTTCTTGTATATTTTCTGCAGCCGTATGTTGATTTTTTTGCTTGGGATGATTCCAAGCATCCACTTTCCAATGCGCCAGAACCAAAGAGACGTTTTATTCCTTCAAAATGGGAGAGTAAAAAGGTAAATTATAATGGTGTATATTGCTTCTTGGTCAAGCAATTTCTAGTAAGTAACATTTCAAGCCGTCACTGTGTAATGATATCGTTATATCTACTCCTTTGACTGTTCCATAAATGCATTATGAAACTGAAAATCTCATACGCGTTCTCAAACAAAGTTGGACTGTTCTAGGACCTCAAGTTTTTGACATGATATAGTTTTTTGCCAAATGAAAAGAAAGATCATTTTGTATACAAAATTTGTACTAATCTGAGTAAATTATTCATACCATGCTGAATTGCATTAGTAGTGATGAAGGATAAGAGAAATGATCTGTACTACAGTATTAAGCTATACTTATTTCATACTGTTCATGTAATTTTGAGTCATGACACAATCTATAGGAGATATAGAATTAACAAGAAGCTGAGACATATTTCCGTTTCATATTTTTTACCTGTGCTACTTATCTATTCTTTCTGCAAATCGTAAAAATGTGAATTAAGCTGTTTGTAGTACTTTTTTACCAATGAAATGATTCTTGGGAGGTATTTGTATGGACATTTTGCATGCTTGCTTTTTTGACATTATAAATACAATCTTCTTGGCACTTGGTGTGACAAGATGTTAGCAAGAACTTGAATTGGTAATTTTTGTGTGAGGCACTTGCATTTATTTTCATAGCTTGTGAAGAGAAATAAATAAATAAAAATATTTCCAAGATGTTTACTGCTTGCATATGCTGAAGTACAAGGATATACTCCTATTTCTTTTATGCATGTGAATGGATTCTGTTCTATGATTGTGTTTTTCTCTTTTCAATCCCAATGTTAAACCCTAAAAATTGATGGATATGTAAAATGAGTTAATATTTCTTTTATCTTTGGAACTTAGTTTGGTTATTCATTTTTTCTCTGTACTTGTGAAGAGAAATAAATAAATAAAAATATTTCCAAGATGTTTACTGCTTGCGTATGCTGAAGTACAAGGATATACTCCTATTTCTTTTATGCATGTGAATGGGTTCTATTCTATGATTGTGTTTTCTCTTTTCAATCCCAATGTTCTAACACTCTAAAAATTGATGGATATGTAAAATGAGTTAATATTTCTTTATCTTTGGAACTTCGTTTGGTTATTCATTTTTTCTCTGTATATTGTTTTAAACTTATAGGTTCTCCAGCTTGTCCGGGCATTCCGAATGGGACATATAAAGTTTGATGATAAGCCTAAGAAAGAGTCGAATCTTTATGACGTGTGGGCAGATGATTCTAGCTTGGCAGAACGACAAGGATTGGCACATATTCCTGCACCGAAGTTCAAGTTGCCAGGTTTAAGATTGACATATGATACAATCTTGACTTCTTGGATTGTCAAATATTTAGTTAGCAGTTGCATTCAAAAGAAGAGTTGCTACTAACTAAAATTTTATTTTAGGTCACGAGGAATCTTTCAATCCGTCTGGAGAATACATCCCATCACAAGAAGAAATTAATGCCCTCCAGCTCATCCCTGAGGAAGATCGTCCTAAATTTATTCCCCAGCGGTTTTTCCTGATCCTGTTGATTATTTCAGTTTGTCTTGTTTCCACTTTTGATACTTTATATTAAAATATCTGGATTATAATAAGCCTTCATATTCTGTAGGTTCGAGTTCTATCGAAGTGTTCCTGCTTATGATAAAGCTGTTAGTGAAAGGTTTGGTCGTTGTTTGGATCTTTATCTATGTCCTCGAGCTCGGAAAAAACGTGTACGTGTGAAGAAGCAGTTTTTGTGTAGATAGATTTGATTTATCATGCACAAGATCTGATTATGCATTGAACTAAAATCAATAGATAATTAATTAACTATAATTTTCTCATTCCTTCAGATTAATATTGATCCTGAGACGTTGAAGCCTAAGTTGCCAAGTCGTAAAGATCTTAAGCCTTATCCAACAACATGTTATCTGGAGTACAAAGGTCATAAAGGTCCTGTCGTATCAGTTACTGCAGAATCTACCGGTCAATGGATTGCTTCTGGTCTGACTTGAATTTGTAGCTGTATCTTCTATCGCCATCTCAAAGAAATACAATAGTTAGAATTGAGTATTACAATGTATTTTTTCCATTTTTTATGAAGGTTCAAATGATGGAAGTGTTCGTGTTTGGGAGGTTGAAACTGGAAGATGTCTTAGGGTCTGGGATATAGGCGAACCTGTTCAGCAAGTTGTATGGAATCCTCTGCCCGAGCTTCCTTTATTAGCAATTGCAGCGTAAGACTATTACCTGAGCATTTTCCCATTTTGTCTTTTGAAAATGGATATCATATTGACACAGCAAATTATGTACCACTACATTTTGCAGGGGTCAGGATGTGTTTATTTTGAACACTGGATTAGGAAGTGAAGAAGAACAGAAAAAGATTGAAGAGCTTCTGCATATTGAAACCCCAACTGCACCGGATGATTCTGGTCAGTATTAGTTAGATATTTCTTGCATTTTGTTTGAGTTTAATGTTCAGCATTCACGTACATCTCTTGTATTCAGACAAGAATGCATCCTTAATCAGCTGGGGTCCGGATGAGAAGCATGGGGGAATCAGGTTAAAACACTTTAAGGTACTGTGCATTTCTTTTTAACATTTGAGTTATGCAATGAATTTGGAGCTAGTGGTCATAGCTCATCTGTGGAATCTATTTGCTTATCTTTACTGGTTTGTGCAGACTGTATCTTCATTAGAGTGGCATCGCAAGGGAGACTATCTTTCAACGCTTATGCCACATGATATCCTTCCTCCAACTCTGAAGTTTATTTATTTACTGATTCACTCTTACATTATGCGTGTGTTTGTTCCACATTTTTGCCCAACTAAAATGAGAAAATCGAATGTTAGTCTGACACCATGGGTCCTCCAGTGCAGTCCCATTTACTGTAGTTTTTACCCCATTTTCCCACATATGCCCTTTGAATATTGAAAGGCTGTTGGAATCTTTCCCACTTTTTGTCCAATTCAATGAGGATAAAACGGGAAAGGTGTGGTAATTTATATACATTTGAAATGATAGCCATGCAGTCGGGCCCACCATGATTTGACATGAAAAATGCATTAGTAGGATGAAAATGGGGATCAAACAGGGGCTATAATTGGAATGGTCGTCTTCATTTTATTGAAGGTGACGGAATTCATGTAGTTAGTTTTTGTCTTTTCAGTACAAGATAAAACCAGTTTGGCACTTACGGCTACTACATTAGAGGAAATATGTGTTAAGAGAGATATTATGAAAATGAAATATTAACATGTATAGTGCATTTATTTAATTGACTTTATATTTTATATTGTTGTAACACATGGTCTTGGTATTGTTGTTCTATGCTCAATGAGAGGTACTGTCTTTTCATTCATAGGAATCAGGCTTAGCTGTGAAGCAATTATTGTTATCCATGTTTTTTTGCTAATTTCTTAACTCATTTATACGTGAATCAAGATCAGTATTGATCCACCAACTCTCTAAGAAACTTACCCAAAGAATACCTTATAAGTTGAGAGGACTTCCTGTTTCATCTGCCTTCCATCCGATTCGTTCTATATTCTTCATTTCAACGAAGAAGGATGTTCGCGTCTATGATCTGTTAAAGCAAAAGCTTCTTAAGAAGCTTGAGCCTGGAGTGCGTGAAGTTTCCTCCATTGCTATTCACCCTGGTGGTATGCTTCTGTTCCCAAGATTCTCTCTCTCTGTTAGCAAACACAGACGTTTTTTTAGGTCATATCTTTAAACTTGTTGGTGCCCCTTATAATGTAGGTGATAATGTCATTGTGGGAAGCAAAGACGGAAAATTGTGCTGGTTTGACATGGACCTTTCTTCTCAACCTTATAAAGTCCTCAAGTATGTAACCACTTTAATTTCTATTCAAGAGGGTTTTAGTAAAGTTTCTTGAACTGTTTTCTTCTTCTTTTTTTTTATTAAACGTTGAAGATCGCTCAAACTTGCCAATTTTGCATCGATAGAATTTTTGGCAAATGTTAAGACGGCATAGTAAATGTTTTTACCTGTGAAAATATAGATGGGATGAGCAAGCATGGATCATTAACTCCATTGCTGGTGTAGATTAATAATATGAGATTTTATGGATGATATAAAAGGTAAGTCAAGCTTGTAAACTATTCTTTAGTTCTACGAGGGTAAGAATGAGGGTGTCGTTCTCTTGCAAAGATTCTGTTGCTGCAAGAAGATTTCTGTGATTGTCCATAAACTTGGAAGTGCTGGACAGTATAATGCATAAGCTTTTAACTTCTTTTTCTTATCTAATATTGTTCAATCCTGTCAAGTTCACCAAACATGTTTTGAAGTCACTCTTTGTTTATATATTGTGAATTGTAGTTGTGATATGACTTTGACACTTGGTTTCTAAATTTGCAGGCCTCATAAAAAAGATATCAACAAAGTCTCTTTCCATCGTTCATACCCTTTATTCTCGTCATGCTCAGACGATTGCACTGCATATGTTTTCCATGGAAAGGTTTATTCGGATCTGAATCAGAACCCATTAATTGTTCCCCTGGAAATTCTACGTGGGCACGCCAGTGCGGATGGAAGAGGTAAATATTGTTTATGCTTGCCTTTGTTTCGAAGTAGAACTATTTTGTTTGGATTAAAATATTTAGTTTTTCTGTATTGAGTTCAAACTTGCTTTGATAAAATCAACTATGCCAATTCTATGTTGAAGGAAATAGACGCACTACCAGCGTTAATCACACATGGGAAACTTTGACTTCTGTTTTTGTAAATGTCACACTTGCCTAGATGTTGAATCGGATGATATGTGTCTCTATCTTTATCATATTACTCTTTTAACATCCTGATCTTTGATCGATAAACCAAATTTTGCAAGAAAAGAGGAATTGTTTAAATTTATTTAGCCGTGTAATATTGTATCAATCTATGTATGAGTTCAATGTTTACATAGTATCAGTAGCTGCACAAGTATTCGAAAATAACTTGTGCCCATGACTAGCGAAGCCCATTCTGTTGGGCGGGGGTTGAATTGGTGCCCCTTTGGGATCCCTGGACACGTTTTTTACTTCCACTACTTTGAGCATTTTTGACTGAAGTCTGAAAACAAGTACCTTTTTTGGCAAGTAAAGATTGACTTTTAAATAGGTTTTTGAACTAATCCCTCCAAAAAGTAACTTCTGTAAAATATCAAACACGTGTGTCTCTAAGCTTAAAGTTACTTTCTACTAATGTTTAGGCTTTATATCTCTAATATTGGCTCTGCATTAAGGTAATGATCTACATGGCCTCTCAGCTTCGGTAATTAGCTGCTCAAGAGATGTTCATATTGGCCCACTATGAAGATGCCTAACCTGTATGCCTAATTGTGAATGTGATTTTTGTAGGAGTTCTTGACTGCAAGTTCCATCCAAGACAACCATGGCTATTTACCGCTGGCGCCGATTCAATTATCGGGCTCTATTGTCATTAAGAAAGGTCACAGGGGTCGGTAATACTGTACTTCAAGTTCCATTGTTAGAGGGCGTTGGAAGATTATCAAATCCCAATCTTGTTCAGGGTCTTTCCGAGGCGAGCCTGAGATTAGTATTTTGGTCCGTATCAGAACCTTGAAATGATAAAAGTTTATTGTTCTATTTATTTTTCCCCATATTTTTGGAATCGAGTCTCGTACAGAATCCTCAATGTTATTTCAATATATTGTAATTTGACATGATGTTTGACGTGGTGTAGCATTACAATATTGGTCTGATTATTTTTCAAGCTAATTTTATTCTAAATTCTCATTAATAGGCCTCTGCTGGTCAATTATTTACTTTACATTCTTTCCCATATTTTTTTCTATAGTATTCATTAGAATAATATTTCACGGAAATAAAAATTTTTCCCTTTTTTTTTTTTAACTACATTATTCATTAATCACTATTTCATAATACATTTTTTCAAATTAATGTGGCTCAAACATGGTCTAAGTTGTCGGGACTTTTGTCTCTTGTCGAAGCTTTTCGAGAAAATGATCTTACATCAACTTCCCTTTAAAAGTTTTTATAGCTAGAGTGCTTTTAGAAAATTGTAAAAATATTTTCAAAAGCAATTTCTTAATCCTTTAAGTATATTTTAATTTTTCAAAAAATCATGCCAAACATAGGCTAGATTGGTAATGTCACGTTCCTCATTTTCTTCTCTTTTGTCAAGCATGGCAAACTAGGTTTTTATCTAATTAAAATTTGGGAGTTGTTTGAATAAAATGAAATTGACATTTAAAAGTAACATATTCTATACAAAATTATGAGCAATTGAAATATACAGGTTTTAAAAAGTCTACATTTTTCATTTCATGTAATCTTGTGGCCTACTCTTTCCAAATGAACTTACCAAAATCAACGAGAGAAATTAAAATCCAATATAACTGGCCTGAACCATCAAAAACATCTACGACCTGATTTTGAGAAGGGAAACTAAGACCCCGTTTGGCCATATTTTTAAAAACTTATTTTTTCTTAATTTAATTTTATATTTCATTAAATTTTATTAAAAATTTTTCTTTTACTCAAACCGAACAGGGACAAACTTATTGGGCCATGTTTGATTATTTAGTAACACGTTCTTGATTCCGGCCCATATCTTCGAAAAGCCTAAATCATTAACCTAATTAAGACTGCGTAGCCCAGTCCACAACCCATTGGAGAACGTGTTAAGTCTAGAATCTTCTTACCAGATTTTATAATAACCCTAAAACATGAATTTACATTTCTAGCATGTTCTGTACCTATCCAGTGTATCTCAGTCTCACGGGCAGGTTCAATTCCGTCTCTCCTTTTCTCTTCTTAATTCCATTCTATTATGTAAATCGATTTACTAGCATCTGCTAGTATATACAGGAATTGAATTGATATTGAAAGAGACAGAGAAAGTAAAAATGGCAAGCAGTGAAGAATTGGCACTGGACTTGGACGAATTGAAACATCTTCAAAGCATCGCTAAGAGGCCTCGTGTTGTCTCTCTTATTTCCAACGAGATTCGTACTGTGGAAAAGGTATACTTTCTGTAGGCATTTTAATTCATTTTTTTGGTTTTTGTATTTTCAATATGTGGAATTAAAGACTGTGTTTTTGACCTTTTCTTTTGCTGCTGATGACGAGGGTTTCTTTTTTGCTAATTGCGCTTATTTTATGGCTATTTTAAGAAGTTGCAGTTATGGTTCGTCTTCTGAAATGGAGATTTTCTCTTCTGGTGTATGATTTTTGTTTTCGAATTAAATGTGACGTTGATGATCCTAGGAAAAAAATATTGTACGATCAGAAGCTTAGTTGAGGAGTTTATTTTACTTTTATTTATCAAAGTTGAGTATATATTTCCTACTCGTGGTTATTATTATCACTACATTGTGTTTTGTTCTCTTTTATGGAACCTTGACTAAGGAAAATGGAAGGTACGAAATGTGATTATTTCAAATCCAAACGTGTTTTAATAGCAGATAATCTTGGAGACTACGCAGAGCCTTCAGTAGTCAATGACGAAGCCTTATTTCCAATAAATTTGAAATTGGCTAAATGAATTATTTTTTGTCATGTTGTGACTAATTCTTGTCTTGCAAAACAGTTAGTTAGTTGTTGAACAATTGTGGAATTGGCTTTTCTATCAGATTTTCCTTGGATAGGATTTTAAATAACATTGCACTTAATTTTGTATATGGGAAGTTCCAATTTCATCGTGGCATTAAGTTTATATTTTTACCCCTAACTTCACCCTTGTACCTTTATCTTATTCTCATTCAGACTTATGGACAACCTAGATGGTGGAATCTAAACTAAATAGTATCAACGCAATTAAGCAAATGCGCCAATCATGATATTATTATATGGGGACTCGTATTTAATGAATATTGTATTGACGTGGTACCTCTGAACATATCACTATGAATGTAGGTTCCATCCCCTCTTCAGTTCTTAGAAGTGGACTGAAAACGGGTGAATAACTACATATTGTGCAAAAAAGAGCAGTGAGCATCTTTGGTTGACTTTTTACTTGTTCATTTCTATATGGATTAATTGCTTTAAGAACTTTATTAAAGCAAGCATCGCTCTTCCTTTATTAGCACTCAAGCTCATGGAGCATGCAGCCCCTTGCTTGTGTGTATGTACTTTGTGAATCATTTGTTGTCATATGACATGAAATAATCTAATTTGAGAACAAAGCTCCTCTTTTCTTCCCCTTTAATGTTTAATTTCTTATTTTAATGGATAGGGAATAGAAACTGCTGCCAAAATTGAAAGATATAATTGAGGGCCACTTCTTATCCTCCAATGCTATGTGTTGAAATTATCATGTGGGAGTGTGTACTAATTTATTAACTTGCTATTGACGTTATTTTGCAGTTATCAATAGATGCTGCTTCTGTACCTGCTATGCAGCCACCAGTTTCAGCTACCCGAACGCCAACGCCAACACCGACACCAAGTGTACCAAATGTGGTCCCTAACCCTGCACTAAATTATGTTCCTCTAGGGTCCTTCAGCTGGGATCAGGACAATGATCAAGTGAAGGTGCGGATGCATGCTAGTTTTGAAGTTTTGTAATTTTCATTAATGACGTGCAAGATGTTATAAATAAGAAATTATTTTCATTTTGACCAATAAAGTTGTTTATTTTAGATCTTATTTATCTACTTATAAGAAGATACCTTAGTTTGTCTGTTGTTTGTAATTCTCTGTGGCCATATAATAGGTAAATTTGCATTTTGGTGTATTTGTAAGCTCTTCTGTTGCTGGTGGTTGGTCATCTCATTTTTTATTTTTTTTGGGCATAGAAGTTAAAATTTCGTGTCTCGTTCTATGCTGATTCTTCTATGATTTCATTGCCTGTATTTTTATTGTTTATTTTTGCCAGATTTATATTCCATTGGAGGGAGTTGAGCAGGAGAAACTTGAGACTGAATTTAAACGAAGTTCTTTTGATATCAAATTCCATGATGTCCAAGGAAAGAATTATCGATGTGCCATACCAAAATTAAACAAGGAGATCGTGCCCGAGAAATGTAAAGTGGTAGTAAAGCCGAAGAGGGTCATTGTCACTTTAGTTAAAGCTTCAAAGGGGAACTGGTTGGATTTGCACTTCAAAGAAGATAAGGTAATTTCTTAATGCTGAAAATTAACTAGTGAAATTATTAAGTTTCATATTAACGTGTCACGTGATGATGTTACAGATGAAGCCGAATTTGGACAAAGAGCGGGATCCAATGGCTGGAATAATGGACTTGATGAAGGTATAACCTTCGTCTCTTAGATCACTTCCTTGTTGAATACTTGTGCTTATGTGGGTGGATTGGAACAAACATGCCCTTCTTATCTTCTCATATGTTGCCACCTATTTGCGTCTTACAACCTGAACTTTTTTTGTCAATTGCAGAACATGTACGAGGAAGGTGATGACGATATGAAACAAACAATTGCAAAAGCATGGACCGATGCTAGATCAGGCAAATCATCCGACTCTTTGAAGGGATTTCCTTGAAGATATCTTAGAGGGTATAGATTGTTAAGATTTTGATGTCTGTTGTCTAAATTTGTTATTTCTCAAGTCTTAATGTATTTGAATTTCGTCGGTAGAGATCCGTCTGGACTTTTGTCTCGGTAAATGTTAGTCATCCCGTGCAAATGATATCTCCTTTTGACATTAACGGTGACATGCACATCTTACATGTCCTTTATTTAGAAATGGACTTATAAAACCTATGATAAATTTGAGCTTCTATTTTAAAAGTTCAATTTTGTTAGTAATGGTAGTCAAATTCTTTACAAGTTAGTCTCTGCTTTTATCTTTATTCGATATGTGATTTTATCTCTTAATATGCTATCGCACGATGGTGGCTCCTTTGAGCAAATTAATTTTGAAATTCTTATGTTCAAAAAATGAGTCTTAATATCGAATTGCTCGTTAGAGGACTTTGATACCATGTTTAGACTTGAAATTTCGTCTTCCAAAATTTATTTTGTTAAGAGGAGAGGTCTAATTTTTTATAATTTGGTTTATGTTTTTATCTATATTTGATGTGGGATTTTTTCTTTCAACAACTTGGTCTGACTATTTAACTTATTTCGAAACAGTTGAGATTGAGAACTCGTAAAACCTGCTTCGAGCAGATATAAACTCTTCATTAACATGTTGATTGGAAATTTTTGAAGTGGTAAAGGCTGGCCTTGGCCAAAGGTCAACTAGGTCGTCGCCTAGGGCCTTATGAGAAAAATTTGGCCTATGCACATTCACAATCCGCCTAGGGATGTTAAATGGATCGAGCGGCTCGATCGTTCAACTCGTCAAAATCTGGCTCGTGGGTGGCTCAATCCCACGAGCCAAGCTTGCTTGGTTCTTCGAGTCCACGAGCCATTTTGGAGGGCTCACGAATTTTTTTTTTTTTTTTTTAAAAGGTCCAAAAATGTGCAAAGTTAAAAAAAAATCACGAGCTCGCGAGTGGCTCGTGAGCTCGGCTCGGCTCGCGAGCTCATCCTCGAACAACGAGCCAAGCTTGAGCTTGGCTCGTCTTTCACGAGCCACGAGCCACGAGCTCGAGTCGAGCTCGTGGGTTAAAGAACCGAGCTGTGCTATCCCTAAGCATTGGGAAAGTTCTTGGGTTTTATGATTGCTTGCATAGGAATAAAAGCTAATCTTGATAAAATCCAAGATTTGATGTCTATGGAGCCCCCTAAGTGCAAAAGAGATGTTCAAAAGTTGACAAGTTGTATAGTAGCACCGAAAAGATTTGTCTCCCGGTTGTGTTCATTAAAGATTTAAAATGCATTGATGGAGTAAGAGAGTTTTGCAATGGGATTGAGGAATACTTGACATTGATTTTTGCACTTGTTATTTGTGGGAACCTATCGTTCTTGTCTTCCAATTTTTTACATTTTAGTGCTAAACTACCCTTATTTGTTGCTGCTAATTCTTGCAAAAGATGCTAATTGGTTAGGTTTGTAGGCGGATCGACCGTTTTGAGATTGCTTTTCAGGGTTTCTTTTTTTTATTTTTTTGGAAATGTAGGAATAGAAACTTCTATTTCGCAGAACCTTACATAAAAGTCGTGGGTATTGTTGTTCGAAGTGTCTCTTATAAGCCACTCTATTTCTTCTTATAATTTCAATTGTCCTTCTTTAGCGTTATCTCATTTTCTTTGATCCTTGATGATTTTTGTGTTTAGCTAGAGCTAATCATAATACTCTTCATCTTCAGTTCAAGTTATTATGAAAAAGAACATGCACATGAGAATCTCTACTGCTTTATATTCAATAAAATGTATGTTGTATAAAGAGTACTAAAAGTTAGAATCTTAAGTTTCTTTGTTACATTTTTATTTATTACTCTCTCTTTCTTTCTTTCTTTTTTTGTCTCCGTCGAGTGCCACTCTATTAAATCTTCAATTCAGTGTAATGAATGTATTAGTGCTCTATTAATGAACTTAAGAAATTTTCAATTTCCTCCATTCCTTTAGAATATTCTCTATCCTCACTAGCCTTAATTGTATATGATGAGCTTGTATAAAACTTCGAAATATCACTGAATTCCTAGGGATCAACGAGTGGTAGATTAAAGCTGTTGAAACACATCAAAACAACTGGAAAATGATAATTCTCCCAACCTTAAATTGACTAGTCTTTGGAATTCAGAGTAATTGGGCTAAAGACATACCTTAATATAGTTGTAATAGGTTTCCTATTGGGATTTTGATCCTATAAGTAACTGAGCATAGCAGGTATAGAGATCATAGTTGTAGTAAAAATCAATATTTAATCAAAGGTTCTTTTTCAATGGTTGACAAGTGGTCTCAACTTGCTTTTGTGACATATTTTCTCTACTTTTTTTAAGTATTGCTACTCTTGGTAAAAAAAATAAAAAATAAAAAAATTTTGTTCAAAGACCTCATATTAACTAGGTGAATTGTGTTTAAGGTTTCTCATATTAATTAGTCGCTTAGGACCTCAAAGTTCTGAGAGCCGACCCTATGAAGTATCATATGTACAAGTTAAACAAATTTGATGTGGACTCGAATAATCATAATTTCTGCTCTGTAGAGCTTTGTAGATAATTTTTTAAACTTCATTTTACCGTAGATTTTTCAAAATGAATTTCTTTACGCTTATTGGTAATTGTCTTCGACTGTCTTTCCTAATAACTAGGATAATTCGAACCCCTGCTTCCAAGAGGATTGAATGTGATAGCATGCACCATTTTCTGATCTTATATTGATGTTTTGATTATCGAATAAATAAAATATATTCAAGTTATATAATGGAGTATCATGCCTAATGGATCAGTTCAAAATTTTATTGTGTTTAACTACTAAGTTAGGCAAATAACTTTATAAGTAAATTCATTTTTACTGACTTCGCGGAATGGTTTATTTTTTTAAATTAAACTTACTTTATATTTAGGTCAAAAGAGAAATCACATGCCAATTCAAACTCACTCCATAATGGGCAAAACATCCAAATAAATCCCTAATCTTTCTTCAGAAAACCTTATTTCTAGTAAAGAATGCAAATGGTTTTTTATTTCTGTTATGCCTTTTTCAACAAGGGCACGAACTCGTGCCATGTGGCAGATGGACCCAGGAGCCGAACCCTTGTGGATGAATCCCTTATGACCAAATCCATTCTCTATCCGACCTCACAACAGCCGAACCCGTAGGGATGAGCCATCAAGCGGGAGCCACAACAGGAGAGACGAGACTAAGAAAGATTAATTGATAGAAGATCATTTAAATCAAATCTAATGATGCGACTGCTGATTTGACTACTCCTTGACACCGTCGTTGCAGCCAACCTATTTGGTTGAATCAACTACCGCAAGCTATGAGTTGTGAAAGGCAAGTTGGTATTACCATTTAAATCATATGATTGATTGATGCCCATAATGGGAAGTTGTAATCTCACGGATAGGGGCTAGGTGTCCTTTCATCCGACGGCCCACACTTGCCACCTCATACTATAAAAGCCCACACTTTGATACTTTATAACTTTGCTCTATATTCACGATTTTTCTTGAAAACGGCCCCTTTTATTTTATATTAGGACTCAAGCCCTTCCACACTTAACACACCTCTTCCCCAACTGACTTGATCGTCGGAGTACGTGCGGGCGGCTCCACCCCCATTGGAGAAGGCCAGGTGTGTCTAACGGTTTGTCCTAGTATGTAGGTATACGACTTGTTTGGGCATGAAAGGTTTCTTAATCTGTTGGCCGTATGAAGGTACATTTTTCGAGGTCAACACGGTGAGCCAGTTACAGGTAGTCAAAGTCATGATAGGACTTCAAAGGAGAATAGGCATGTCATTGTCGAAGCGAACCAGTTATAAGTAGTCCAAGTCATGATAGGACTTCGAGAAGAAGAGGTGGTGCCATCGTCGAGGGGAGAGATTTACACTTGGTTGAAGTCATGATAGGACTTCGAAGGAGAAGAGGCGATGCCTCAACGACAACACCGACTCTTCTCTTGAAGGCCTATCTTGACTTCGACTACTTATAACTGGTTCGTCTCGACAATGGCATTGCCTATTCTCCTTCGAAGTCCTATCATGACTTCAACCAAGTGTAAATCTCTCCCCTCGACGATGGCACCACCTCTTCTTCTCGAAGTCCTATCATGACTTGGACTACTTATAACTGGTTCGCTTCGACAATGACATGCCTATTCTCCTTTGAAGTCCTATCATGACTTTGACTACCTGTAACTGGCTCACCGTGTTGACCTCGAAAAATGTACCTTCATACGGCCAACAGATTAAGAAACCTTTCATGCCCAAACAAGTCGTATACCTACATACTAGGACAAACCGTTAGACACACCTGGCCTTCTCCAATGGGGGTGGAGCCGCCCGCACGTACTCCGACGATCAAGTCAGTTGGGGAAGAGGTGTGTTAAGTGTGGAAGGGCTTGAGTCCTAATATAAAATAAAAGGGGCCGTTTTCAAGAAAAATCGTGAATATAGAGCAAAGTTATAAAGTATCAAAGTGTGGGCTTTTATAGTATGAGGTGGCAAGTGTGGGCCGTCGGATGAAAGGACACCTAGCCCCTATCCGTGAGATTACAACTTCCCATTATGGGCATCAATCAATCATATGATTTAAATGGTAATACCAACTTGCCTTTCACAACTCATAGCTTGCGGTAGTTGATTCAACCAAATAGGTTGGCTGCAACGACGGTGTCAAGGAGTAGTCAAATCAGCAGTCGCATCATTAGATTTGATTTAAATGATCTTCTATCAATTAATCTTTCTTAGTCTCGTCTCTCCTGTTGTGGCTCCCGCTTGATGGCTCATCCCTACGGGTTCGGCTGTTGTGAGGTCGGATAGAGAATGGATTTGGTCATAAGGGATTCATCCACAAGGGTTCGGCTCCTGGGTCCATCTGCCACATGGCACGAGTTCGTGCCCTTGTTGAAAAAGGCATAACAGAAATAAAAAACCATTTGCATTCTTTACTAGAAATAAGGTTTTCTGAAGAAAGATTAGGGATTTATTTGGATGTTTTGCCCATTATGGAGTGAGTTTGAATTGGCATGTGATTTCTCTTTTGACCTAAATATAAAGTAAGTTTAATTTAAAAAAATAAACCATTCCGCGAAGTCAGTAAAAATGAATTTACTTATAAAGTTATTTGCCTAACTTAGTAGTTAAACACAATAAAATTTTGAACTGATCCATTAGGCATGATACTCCATTATATAACTTGAATATATTTTATTTATTCGATAATCAAAACATCAATATAAGATCAGAAA